CTGTCCAATCTGTTTTCAGAACTATTTTCCCATACAATTACAAAGAGATATTTGAACATCAAATAATATAGTATTGCCTGCAATTTTGTTTGAAGCAAAGATTGATCACTTAATGTGTCTGCTATATCTCAGAGATAAATAATTCTGTCATCTATTGTCCATACAAATATATTGTGTTTTTTTCCTTGGAAAAAGAATGAGTATAGAACAATATAACAAGGCTCAGCAGTTCTATCTGTCATGGAATTTGAGCCATTATATGCATAACAAATGAATGCAACAGTGGTAAAATGATACTGAAGAAATGTCTCTCTATTATATTAACATTTACATTAGTATAAATAATTATATTAACAGCCTTGGAAAACACTCCATACAATGATATTGCAATTATAAGCCACTGTTTCATGTTCTATATATGTATTTAAATAATAAATAGTATATACATGTAGTTATAAATATGGTAAATAGTTATATATGTTGTGTTGTGCAATGCATGTTTTGAGCTACTGTCACCAGTATATTTGTCAGTTGTCTATGAGGGATACATATATACTGATATAGAAACATAGGACAAAGGTGAACAAAGTCAACTTAAGTTAAGCACTGAATCAGATAAAGTTCAGCTATGTATTATTTGCATATGACAATGGCATGACATATTTTATTTTCTGCCAGAATTGTCCTGTAAAAACATGACATTTATCCAAAATTGCAAAAATGTTTTTTCCAAAATTCAACAAACACACATTATAAATGGCAAACTGATCTAAATCACTGCATTACTTGGGGACAGACATGACCAAAGTTTTGCCAATTAAATCTGTGGCTTGTCATCATTATCATAAACTTTACAAATAAAGGAGCATACCTCGACTTTGGTCTTCCCTGGTACTGGAACTGGAGCACTAAGCAGACGTAATATCCAAGTCTCAATCTCTCGGATCTCATGAACAACAAGACTTGAAACATTATCACTACCTTGACCAGTCAGCACACCCCACACTGTGTCCCTGTAATAAACAGTAGCAATTTGTACACCCCACACTGTGTCCCTGTAATAAACATTAGCAATTTGTACACCCCACACTGTGTCCCTGTAATAAACATTAGCAATCTGTATAGCTAATGAAAATCTCACTTAGTCATATAAATATATTACATCAACAATGAACCTCATGGCAACATAATTTTATATATTATAAATTGTTACCATAATTTATAAAGTCTGCTTAATTGATTGGTATGTCTAGGAATTACCTTGAATGTCATAAGTCCCAAATATAGAGGATATTTGTTTGTTTTGCATGTAAGATTGAAATATAATTTCACTGAGTGAACACCAGATCCAATATTTTCACGAGTGGCGTAGCCACGAGTGAAAATATAATAGCTGGTGTTCACGAATGAAATATATTTCAATCTTATATGTAAAACAAATAAATTTTCTTTTTATTTCATGCTTTTTAAGTGATTTTAAGTATTTTTTACTGATTTTGCCGCGTAACGTTGCGCATTCTCCTTCGTGATGTCATCACATCATGACGTCACATCATCAATTTTGAAATATAGTTCTGTTAAATTTCTCTAATTTTGCTTCATTTCTAACATGATGTATGGTGACATCGACTTTCTTTTCCTAAAGAAGCAAAATTTACGTTTGACGGCACTTATTTCAGTCTGTTATTCCATTTAGTTTAATTTTCTTTTCATCCACATTCAGATATAGTCCGGCTACAGTGAAAATTATATTTTATAAATTTCACTAGTGGTTTATCAGAATATAATCATCTGATATATTACAATAAAACACTGGAAAGCATGAAATAAAATTATTTAATTTGCATGGCAGTATGCTGTGATACTCACAGCATATTCCTCCATCTTGATGACAAAGACTTTTAAGATTTTTTGTTGTAACATACCACCCAGTCAATTCATATACTGATACCAGATTGAAGGAAATGGTGTCTCCTTCTCAACCCATCGATTGGTGGGTTCAAGCCCTATAAGTATCATAACTCACACTCTCACTGGTTCATTTCCAGGAAGTATACTCAAAAGTGTTTACTTGTAAATAACAAGCACAAGTTTTACAAACTGGAACAAATATGTTTTAACTAAACCATACCTGAGATTGAACAGAACAGTAACTATCTACTTAAATTTTAAGTTACAAGTAAGAGAGGTTCAAGTATAATTTTTATATCTGAATTTGATATGACATGACTGGGAATCACACTTATGGCCTCATACATACAAGGTAGAAGCTCTACAACTCTTACAGCTATCACTGAAGTAATTAATTTGGTCCTGACCATGAGACTTCCATTCTTTGTCAGTATAAATAACTAGAACCTACAGCAATAATATACTGGCAAGTATTTTTCAGTTTTAAAGCTATTGATAAATAATAACTATGTTCAATATATATTGAAAACTTTCTAGTCTTTTATGGACCATGACTGCAACTTTACTCATTGACCCAACTATTAAAGATGAAGGTAAATTTGAGGCAATTTATATGTTATCTGATGTTGATTCAAGTATGACAAAATGTCCACAACTTAGGTGAAAAAGCTTTTAAGAAATTGTGATCACTTAATATTGTTCATACATGACTGTGCATTTAAAAACTAGAACTGTGTCCAAAGGACACGGATGCCCCCACTGACAACATATATATGGTATATAGTGAAAAAATCAACAAAGGGCCATAATTCTGTTAAATTTGGTCGCAGCAAAAATTCCTTCCTTTACTACCATCTACACATTAAGGTTGTTCATCCCTGGAAGTTTAAGCAAAATCTGCCATCCAGTTTAAGAGGAGTTGCGTTCACAAAATTTCTATATGGTATATAGTGAAAAAATCAACAAAGGGCCATAATTCTGTTAAATTTGGTCGCAGCAAAAATTCCTTCCTTTACTACCATCTACACATTAAGGTTGTTCATCCCTGGAAGTTTAAGCAAAATCTGCCATCCGGTTTAAGAGGAGTTGCGTTCACAAAATTTCTACATAGTATATAGTGAAAAAATCAACAAAGGGCCATAATTCTGTTAAATTTGGTCGCAGCAAAAATTCCTTCCTTTACTACCATCTACACATTAAGGTTGTTCATCCCTGGAAGTTTAAGCAAAATCTGCCATCCAGTTTAAGAGGAGTTGCGTTCACAAAATTTCTATATGGTATATAGTGAAAAAATCAACAAAGGGCCATAATTCTGTTAAATTTGGTCGCAGCAAAAATTCCTTCCTTTACTACCATCTACACATTAAGGTTGTTCATCCCTGGAAGTTTAAGCAAAATCTGCCATCCGGTTTAAGAGGAGTTGCGTTCACAAAATTTCTACATAGTATATAGTGAAAAAATCAACAAAGGGCCATAATTCTGTTAAATTTGGTCGCAGCGAAAATTCCTTCCTTTACTACCATCTTCACATTAAGGTTGTTCATCCCTGGAAGTTTAAGCAAAATCTGCCATCCGGTTTGAGAGGAGTTGCGTTCACAAGATTTCGGGACGGATGGACAGACAGACGTACGGACGGACAGACGGACGGACAAGTGCAACGCTATATGCTCCCACTCTGTGGGGGCATAAAATGCTTATTGAGGAGAAAGTGTTTTGAGATAATAAGAACGTAATTTTAATCTGTCAGAAATATTTTTTAAATGATAATTTGGATCAAACTTGACTTTTAATACTGTTGGATGTAAAACAAAAACATTTGTTATTCATTATATAAAGATTACACCCTCTGATTGAACTATACTTTCAATCCATATAAACTCAGAGATTATTATGAATAATTGTCCAAGTGTTCAAGGTGCAAGGTTCAGAGTGAAAGAAAAGATTGTGATATCATGAATTTGTCCCAGGAAATTAACAAAACCTCATAATATAACTCTTCACCAACTCATCACTATGAGTAACTCATGAAACACTGTGCTCATGAAATGCTATGAATTATTATGTTACGATAAATGTCCAATCTTACTTAAAGAATAAAATATAATTAGTGACTGTAATCTTCATGAATAATTTCAGAGGGATTAAAATAAAATATTAATAATCTGAGAAATATAGAAAACATGTAAAACTTTTTTTAATATTACATATTACTGGCCTATGAGATTTATTACCAGGCTTCTTGCCAAACTTGTATAACTTTTTCTATTTCTAGAGGAATGTTCAGACTTTCATTACCAATTATAATGAACCAATATGTCATTTTAAATCAATTAGCATTCTCAAAGTGAAATTTACTCCCACAATATATACAATAATCATTGAATTTTCAAACGTTTTAGTTACTTAACTAACAAAATTATTTATTACCCCTCACTTTTTTCGTAATGCTAATTTCCCATAGGCCTCTGGGAGTTATTTTTACTGTTAATGCAAGTGTACCACGTGACTAAGAATTTTGTACTGTTACATAGGCAACAGTATCTTTTAACAGTATAAAATATGGTCACGTGGTCTATTTTCTAAATAAAATGAAATAAAATGGCCGCCATTTTTTTCTCGATTCATTCTTATTTTCAACGTTAAACCCCGATATGACATCAATTTCTTCTCTGGAGTAACTATGACACTCATAAAATTTAGTTGTTTGCAACCTGGTGTGCTTTTCGCGTATAAAATATCTTTTTGTTGAATAGTCAAAAAGTGAACATCTGTTTTCAACGGAAGTAATTGCAATGTAAGTTCTAAGAATATTTTCTTATGTTGCAATGTGTCAGTTTTATAACTTTGCGACCAAATATTTTAATTATATTTTAATACTTGGCTGGAAGGCTCCATCATGTTAACTTGTGCATCACCTTAATTTACATGCTCAGAGAGTAATAATTCATGTTGGGAGACCCTATAAGCAGCAAAATTATATATTTTTTATGTGTCTGAGAAATATAAGTAAGACAGGATGTACCATGGGAGCATTGATTTATGTTTGAAGCAGGAAACTTATAGCTCAGCAACAATTATAAATGGACATATGACTACTCATTTTTGGCAAATTATGTCTAGACATAAGACAAACTTACCATTCTTGTAATAAAGCAGGACAAAAGAAAAAACATTACTCTCAGGACCTGATAAACCTGACTATATTTACCCTTTAACCACACTATAATGGACTTCTTTATCATTTTATTCTGGCAAAACCCATTTTTTATGGAAAAAATTTCAACTTATGGTAAGTACTGACTGAATAGCAAACAGTACAGACCATGATTGGATTGCACATTTTGGTCTGCACTGGTCACATGGGTAAATTCAGTTGAATCAACCAGTTTCCTTAATCTTGTAATATTTAAGTAGAAAGCTGGAGGTGCAGCTGTAAAATATATGAGCCGCGTCACGACAAAACCAACATAGTGCGTTTGCGACCAGCATGGATCCAGACCAGCCTGCGCTTCCGCGCAGTCTGATCAGGATCCATACTATTCGCTTACCAACTCTATGACAAGTAGAGAAACTGATAGCGAACAGCATGGATCCTGATCAGACTGCGTGGATGCGCAGGCTTGTCTGGATCCATGCTGGTTGCAAAAGCACTATGTTGGTTTTGTCGTGACGTGGCTCATATGTCTTCATCTAGGATAGAATTTAGCAGCAAATCTATTTTTAAACTACCTACATCATCATTCACCATAAGTATTTCTTTCACTGAGCATGTCTTGGGTGCCATTTTTTTAGCCTTGATTTGCAATAATATCTGTTCTGTTGTGAATTCCTTCATGCAGGGTTTTAATTGTCATTGATCAATTCAAAGCCATGCACTATACACTAACGTGAAATGACTAATAGTAGTTTTCAATTGATCAGTAAATGTTTCTATCATGCATTACTGCATAATTATGCATAAGCGCCAAGCTGAGTTTGATTATTTTTCACCTAATATTGCATGGAGTCAATGGATATCTGCTCTTGTTCACTCCCAATCAGCTACATTTTGAAATTACCACAACCTTTCATGAACAGGCTCAATCAAACAAAGCCTACAACA